GCCATAGAACAAACCTCAACGAATTTAAAAGAACTGAAATCACAGAGAGTGTTTTTCTAACCACAACAGAATCAAAGTAGAAATCAACAATGGAAAGAAAACTGGAAAATCTCAAAACATTTGGAAACTAAACAACACGACTCTAAATAATCCATAGGTCAAAAAAGAGCTAAGAGAAAAATTAATAAAAAAATAACTGAGCCCTGACTGGTGTGGCTCAGTGGGTTGGGCACAGACCTGCAAACCAAAAGGTCACCAGTTCAGTTCCCAGTCAGGACACAGGCCTGGGTTGTGGGCCAGATCACTAGTTGAGGGCGTGTGAGAGGCGACCAATCAATGTTTCCCACACCGATGTTTCTCTCCCTCACTTTCTCCCTCCCTTCCCATCTCTCTAAAAATAAATAAATACAATTTTTGAAAAAATAAATTGAATTAAATGAAAATGAATATACAACATATCCAAATTTATGGGACACAGCTTATGAAGTGCTAAGAGGGAGACTTAGAACACTAAATGTATATATTACAAAAGAGGGAATTCTCCAGTCATCTAAGTTCCCATCTCAGGACCTAGAAAAAGAAAAGCCAAATAAACCCAAAGCAAGTAAGAGAAAGGAAATAATAAAGAGCAGAAATCACTAAAATTGAGAACAGGATAAAAACTATAAAACAAAAAATAGGTTCTTGGAAAAGATTAATAAAATGAACAAGTAAGACTGACAAAAAGAGAAGATACAAACTACCAATATGTGGAATGAGACAGAGCATCTATCAGTACAGATCCTACAGCACCAAAAGGACAAAAAGGGGACTCTGACCAACTCTGCACACAAATGTGATAACAGATGAAATGGACCACTACCTCATAAAACACATACATACCACAATTCACCCATTATGAAACACACAATTTGAGTAGCTCTATCACTATTAAGAAAATGGAATTCAATACATAGTATATAGCAACAATAAGTACACCACGTGAGACCGGCAGAGAGACAGACACATAGATTCACAGGACAGAATGCTGAGCCCCCAAACAGACTCACACAAATACGCCCAACTGATGTTTGACAAACATGCAAAAGCAATTCAGTGGAGAACAAACAGCCTTTTCAACAAATGGTGCTAGAGCAAGTGGCCATCTACCTACAGGCAAAAAGAAAACCACCCCAAACTCAGTCCCACCCAAGTCTCACATCTGATACAAACCTTCATTCAAAATGGATCATGAACTTAAATGTAAAATATAAAACTATAATACTTTTAGGGGAAAAAAACACAGGAGATAATCTTCAGGATCTGGAGGCAGGCAGAGTTTTTTTAGAACTGACAAGACAACATGATCCATATATGGAAAACTAACATAATGAATTCTATCAAAATTAAAACTTCTGCTCTGCAAAAGATTCAGTTAAGAGGATGAAAAGATAAGCTACAGACTAGGAGAAGTTATCTGCAAACCACATATCTGGCAAATGGCAAATGTCTAGAATGCATAAAGAATTCTCAGACGTGACAGTAAAAACAAACAATCCAACTAGAAAATAGGCAAACAACACAAACAGACGTTTCACCACGAGAATACTCAGATGACAAAATAAGCACACAAATGCTGTTGGACCTCATTAGTCATTAGATTAAGTGCAAATGAAAACAACGATGAGGTATCCCCACATACCTATCATAATGGCCACAATAAAAAACAGTGAAAACACCGAATTCTGAAGAGGATGGGGAGAAACTGGATCACTCGCACATGCTGGTGGGAATGGAAAATGGTATGCCACCCTGGAAAAGAGTCTGTCTGTCTCCCGATAGAACTAAGTGTGCAACCACCATCTGACCAGCAACTGCTGTGTTTATCTCAGAGAAATGAAGACTTATGTTCACACAAAAAAATGTATGTACATGAGTGTTGATAGCAGATGAAAGATGGTTTGACTTTGGGTGATGGGCACACAGATGTTGTATCACAGAAATGTACACTGAAACCTATATGATACTATTAACCAATGTCACCCCAATACATTTAATAAAGAAAAAAATGTTTATAGCAGCTTTATTTATAATAGCCAAAAACTGGAAAGAATTCAGATGTCCTTCAATGGATGAATGAATAACTGTGATACATACATACTATGCAACTCTATCAGCAATGACTAGGAACAAGCCATTAACACATGCACCAACCCGGACAAATCTCCAGAGAATTATGCTGAGTAAAAAAGTGCCAGTCACAAGAGGTTACATACTGCATGGTTCCATTTACTTAAAATGAATTTATAGAAATGGAGAACACAGTAGGGGTCTCCAGAGAGAACAAGGGGCAGAGGGAAGTGGGTGTGACTATAAAGGACGACAGGAGGGGTCCTTGTGACAGCGATGTTCCATATCTTGACTGCATCAACATCAACATCCTAACTGTGATAAAAAGTTTAAAAGGAAAACTTCACATATGCATATTTGTTGGCAACTTACTTTATAAACAGTTAAAAATACGCAATATATGCACACACATACAAAGTGTTGCAAAATGTTTATAATAGGTGACCCTAGGTATACTAGTCTTTTAATTTTTCTGTAAATGTGCAAGTTTTCAAAATAAAATGATGAGGGGAAAGGAATAGTCTCTAGTTTCTAGTTCCTTTGGTTTCCTACTTAAAATGATATGTAGCAAGATTACTCCTACCTTTCTGAGCTCCGTGCTTCCACGAGGACCTACGGCCTAGAGAAAAAGGCAACACCCACGTGGCAGTGGCCTCTGAGCTCCGATCTAAAGAGGACTAAACACATCCCGACAACTGGAAGTACAGTGTGTTATATGGTAACACACAACCACTTAAGTTTTACTGTGAAAAGCCAGTATATTTTGCAAACATATAGCTTCAGGCGTGTCAATATGAAGAAAACTGGTTTTTTTTTTTTTACTTTCATTTTTAAAGCATGAATATGTTTACTTTTCTCAAGTAAAAGAGCACCTAAGTGACACTGCTCCTCCGTGGGGCAACTCTTAGAACCACTTTCCCCTGTTCTGGGGGATGTGACAGGGGTGTGCCTACCTACAGGCAACAGCACGGTGCTGGGGTCACACAGACCTGGGATCAAGTCACTGACTGGCTACAAGAACCTGTAGGCCTCGGTGAAAAATGATGATAACAAGATGAGTGTGGGACTTTGTGAGAATAAAGTGGTACAAGAAATGTGAAGGGCTTAGCATACATAAAGTAGAGCTCAACACATTTTGCTATTACTGTTAGCATTTAAAATTATTTTATTAAGGTAAAACAGTCAAAAGCATATTTTTAAAAAATAATTATGAAATTATTTTAAAGTTAATATTTATCTCACAATATTTTAGAATCATTAGGTTGTAACACTATAAAAATTATACAAATACAGAAATTATGTTTAGAGACAGCAAGGGGAATGAACACAATATTTAAAATCAGAAGCCCTGGCTGCTGTGGCGCAGCATGCTGAGTGCCGGCCTTCGAACCAAAGGGTCTCCGGTTCGATTCCCAGTCAGGGCACATGCCTGGGTTGCAGGCCAGGTCCCCAGTAGATGGCATGTGAGAGGCAACTACACATTGATGTTTCTCATCCTCTTTTTCTCCTTCCCTTCCCTCTTTTTAAAAATACATAAATAAAATCTTCAAAAATAAAAAAATAACATCAGAAGACTCAGTTAAATCCTGACTCCGCCACTTACTGGCTGTGTGACCTCTAGATAGTAACGAAGCTGCCTCAGATTTCTCATTTCCAACAGTGAGATAACAGTCCTTGTGTGGCAGGGTTGTAGAGATAAAGGTTTAGAAAATCTACACAAGAATACTTCTTAAAATTAAAGCACTGTGACATTGCAAAATACAGATTTTCACATTTCCTGCAGGAAATGTCATTCATTATAATTAAACATGTCCAATTTAATACAAAAATATTTTCTAAAGATAAATGATTAAGAAAAATCAGGGGATTGTAAAAAAAAGTGGCATCACTGGGACTAAAATTTTTAATGGATCTTTACATAAAAGTCAAATATTTATATCCAAAATATTTCACTAAAGACTTCTACTGAATTTTAGGTGGCATTATATTTGTATATAAATATACAAATATATTTGTATATTATATTATATTATATTATATTATATTATATTATATTATATTATATTATATTATATTATATTATATTTGTATAATGCCACCTAAAAGAACATCTAATGTTCTTTGTATGCAAACCAGAGAAATGTGTTATGTGTAAAGGTTTTATCAAAAGGCCTTGTTTGCTCTCACATGTTTTAGCGAAGACATTTTGGGATCTGGGTAACGCATGGTTATCCCACCCCTCCCCACAAACCTGGGCCTCATCTCTTCTTGGAAATATGAACACCCATCTCCCTATCGCTGGGTACAAAACCGCCTCCCTCCTTACATCTTGTATCTATTCTTCAAGTCCCAGCAGTCTCCCTTCTCGGTGTCCTTCCCCTCACACACACCCCTAACTGCCATCACCTCTCATCACCTTTTGCCTGAAGTCATGGAATCACCTCCCAACTCATTCCCTTGCTTCCAATCTCCCTGCTCTGACAATCCATCCTATCATCACTACCAAAATCCAGCCTTTGCTGTCCCCTGTTCAAAGACTTTCCTAAAAGTACAAAATCCTCATCCTGGAGTGTAAGCAGAGTCAGAGTCTGGATGCTGAATGATCAACCAGTCACCACAAAATTTAGCAGTAATCTTTATTGCTATAGGCAAAAGGCATGGACCACTGAAGTCCAGCACTGAACAGGGTTAACGTTAAGTTCACTGGGATCTATGTCCACTCAGAACGGAGAGGTAGGTCACAAAGCTAGCAGAGGTTCAAACTAAAAGGAAGGCAAAAAAACCCTTACACATCATTTTTACTTATTTAAAGTATACAAGCAATTATTAGAATTGATACTGGAAACATACAATAGTGGGAAAGTATTTCTTAAAACTAGGATAGAACTTACCTGGTAAAGGCAGGCTGCTGTTCCAAGGAAAAATGCAATGATGTAATTAAAATCCTCACCATCACTCTGCAAAAACAAAATAAAAAAATTACTGTTCTTCTGGTGGGAGCCCATTTTCAAAAACAATCCTTTGGGATAGGATATGAAGATGTTTATGCACAAATGGCCAAAATTTCCACAAAGTGGTGTATAAAAATTCTCAAGAGTCCTAAGAGGAAACCACAAAACATCGTAAGGTCCAAGAAGCATGAGGCAGAGAAAAACCATCAGTGTTCCTCCGAGTTTTGGCCTACAGCTCAACTTCATTTTACCTAAGAGAAGTGGACAATCAACAGGAAAAGTTTCTGTATGAAGGTCTCTCCTCTCTCCTGAGAAAACCAGATAAAAATGTACAACACCCCAGTGCCCCATAAAGTTAGTCTTGCTCACTGGGGTCATTACTGAACCCAAATAAATATTGACACACTTTACTACTTAGGAAGCACATCACTGAACTGTCCGATACAGTAATTTCGCAAGATTAAAAAAAAAAAAAGAATCATGTAAAGCTACTGCCCACTAGAGTGTGCTAAATCCCAATGAGAAAAATCAGTCACGCTTGCTGTGCCAGAAAAACAGCCACTCAGAGGAAAAATAGGGATGTATCATGCACATTCCTTCTAAAAGAAAACTAACAGAAACATATAACAGCCCAGTTTTTTTGTTCCTTTCTGATTCCTCTTAAATGTCTATAGTTATTACTTCTTTCAGTGTTTTCATGAAGTAGAATGCAAAGCCTAGGCAGAAACATAAATCTGCCCCTTACTTCTGAAAAAATACCTTTAATACAGTGAACATTTCCACAAGATGTGAAATTGTCCTTCATGACCATGTCTTCACGAAATAATATAAGGAGAAAATTCCTTTTCCGTTTGCTGTTGGGCACCAGAACAGACTGTAAGGCAGAGAGCGCGTGGCTTATCCTAGAGAGATGATCTTAAAACAGGAGCCATCAGTCCGTCTGGGATGTTGAGGGACTGTTCAACCCCAGACGCAGGGAAGGCCACCACCAAACCTCCACTTCAATAATTCTAAGCTTTAAATACAGGGTGGGGCAAAGGTAGGTTTATAGTTGTGAGTACATGAAAGTCCATTCTTGTGTTATTTATTAATTATTGTATTATTTTACCTGTGAGCAACTGTAAACCTACTTTTGCCTCACCCTGCAAGTTCTGCCTGATTATTTTTCTTAATCCTTTACTTTTTCAATGACCTTTTAGCCAATTATAAAAATTTATCTTCATTGTAGAGAATTTTGAAAACAGATTGTTACAAAGAAGAAATTCATACAGTCCATAATACCTCAACTCTGGGAGAATTACTGCTAACCATTTTACGTTATTTCTTTCTGATATTTTCTATAAAAATATGCCCATTTAAAAAAAACAGAATAATACTTTTATATACTGCTTTTTAGTCACATTACATCATAAACATATAAACACTCTCAAGATATTATTCCTTGACCACATGATTTGTAATGTTTATATAACCTTTCATTATGGGGATACACTACTATAATTTAATTATTGTCCTACAGTTGGTTATTATTTTCCCCCTAAATTGGCAATATCACTTTATAACTCTTAATTGCCTTTGGAACACATAAGACCATGTTTCTGGAGTCAGTCGAATTTGGGTTCAAGTCTTTACTTAGTAGCTATATGATCTCTAGGCTATTTAACTTAAATTTCCTTTTTAGAAAAATAAAAGTTGTAGAGATTAAATGAAATAACATTTGAAAACACACAGAACAGTAATTGGCACACAGAAAGTACTCAAAAAACATTCACTGCCCTGGCTGGTGTGGCTCAGTGGATTGACTGAGTGCCTGTCTGTGAGCCAAAAGGTCGCTGGTTTGATTCCCAGTCAGGGCACATTCCTGGGTTGCCAGCCAGGTCCCCAGTTGGGGGTGTGCGAGAGGCAATGGACGGATGTATTTCTCACACATTGATGTTTCTCTCCTTTCCTTCTCCTCTATAAAAAAATAAATAAATAAAATCTTTAAAAAAATCACTGAGTTCATTTCTCCCTAAGGTTACTCTCGACATCATTCATTGGATAATTAGATTACCTTCTACATTGTTTAAGCCTCTAGTGTACTAGCCTTATCTTCTCAATCAGACCTTAACCCTTCTTCAAGGCAGAAAATAAATCTTTACTATTTGCATGAAACTGTGTAGACAGTAGGAATTCAACAAATGCTTGCTAGATTGAGTTGACCTTTGAAAATGCTTTATTTCTACTTGGTAAAGAGAAGATTGTCTACAGATTGTCAACAAATATTCATTAAGCCCCAATGAGCTAGTACTGTGTTACTAGACCTAGGATAGAAAACGAGTCCTTATCAACTCAAGAAACTCTCTAATCAAGATGGAAGATACATAAACCAACAATTCCCACCCTACCTGTCACACTACCTACAACCTTACTTTCAAGCAATTCGCAGAAAGAAAGAAAGAAAGAAAGAAAAGAAAAGAAACAAAACAAAACAAAGGAAGAAACAAAGAAAAAAAAGAAAGGTTGGTATCCAAGTGACTGCTACTTGTATTTTTTTTTAACCTCCCATAACTTTGAATTTTTCCAAATAAAATGTGTGATGGGGGAGAAGGAAATACAAATGAAAAAATGCTATGCAGCCATTTAAAAAAAAGTAATAGATCTCTACATACTGATGTGAAATGATCTCTTATGTATTGTTAGGTGGAAAAAGATTCAAATTAGTATGAAGAGTATACTGCCACTTACGTAAAAAATAATTTTAAATTAATAATTATATAAATATATATGTAGTGGCATATGAACATAATCTCTCTAGGTAACATCACTCACTGACTCTGAGGAGAAGTGGGAAGAGAATTATGTAATGTAAAGAAAAGTGACAGGCCCTTATCACTTCTGGTCAAGATGGCAGCGTAGGCAGACATAGCTTGCCCCATTGTACAACCACTTCAAAATTAAAACTAAAATATAGAACAACCATCACTCAGAACCCTCAGAAATCAGGTTGAATGAAAGTCTGACAACTACAGTATTAAAGAGACCACACCCGTCCAGACTGGGAGGAGGGGCAGAGAACTGGAACAGGCAGTTCTCACATCCGAGTGTGGTAAATAAAAATTCAGGAAGGGGAGCAAGGCGCCCCAGCCCCATACCAGGCCCCCCAGCCCAGGGCTCCAGTGCCAGGAATATAAGTCCCCACAACTTCTGGCTGCAAAAACCAGCAGGGATTGAATCCTGAAAGAAACTTCTCAAGCCCCAAGCAGTTCCTCTTAAAAAACCCACACAGGGACTCACCTACTCAGACTTATTCTGAGCTCTAGCACCAGGAAAGCACCTCGAAAGGGAGGAATTGAGGTATTTAGCATCAAGGCGAGCAGAGGCTATCAACTCTTTCCTGAACCCTTCCCCCAGAGAGCTGGCAAACTGGTGTCAAATCTGAGACTCCATTGGTCTGGCTACCTATTAAACATACCTTGGATTTTCCTAGAGACTCCGTCCCACCCAATTTGTAGGCTCACCCAACCTGCTTTTCTATACGAACGACTGGTCTCAGCTCAAGCTGCCACTTCCCAACTTCCTAAATCCTATCAAACAAGGAACACCTGTCCTCAGTTAGCCCCAGGCATGGCACTACCAGCAGCCAGCCTGGACAGACAGCTTGGCCTCACCTGGGAATCTCCAAGCTCAGCACAAGTAGCAAACCCGCTAAGATTGCTTTGTAGCTCAGGCAGGGTGGACCTGGGCAGAACACATGATGGGACTGACCTTGGCCTGCACCACCCAGGAAACCCCAGAGTCTGTGCACCCACTGGACAGCCAGAGATCACGTTGGACCACCACCGCCCTACCCTGCCCCTGCACAGCTGATCCTCCATAGAGGGTGGAGGTTGGTGGCAAGTGGTCACAGCCAATCCTTGCAGCTCACTGGTCTGGGCAAATCCCTCCCACTGACCTGCCAACAGCAACCAAGGTTCAACTATAAGAGGAGGGTGTAGTCAGCCCACATGAAAGGTGCACCTCAAGTACACAGCTTGGGTGATAAGAAAGGGTGTGCCACTGGACCCTACAGGGAACCTACTGCATTAGGCCACATCACCAAGACATGCACAACTGAAGCAGCTCTACCTACTACATAGAAACAAACACAGGGAGGCTGCCAAAAGGAGCAAAGAAACATGGCCCAAATGAAAGAACAACTCAAAACTCCAGAAAAAGAGCTAAACAAAATGGAGATAAGCAATCTATCAGATGCAGAGTTCAAAACACTGGTTATAAGGATGCTCAAGGAACTTAGTGAGGACCTCAACAGCATAAAAATCATAGAGCCGCGGAGGGGCCAGTGGGAAAAGGAACCCTGTGTTTCTTCTCTCTCCCTCCCTTCCCCTCTAAAGATAAATAAATAAAATCTTAAAAAAAAAATACAGAAATGAAGGTACACTAATTGAAAGAAAGAACAATATACTGGGAAACAACAGTAGAGTGTATGAAGCCAAGAATCAAATCAATGATTTTTAACATAAGGAAACAAAAACAACCAGTCAGAACAATGAGAAGAAAGAATCCAAAAAATGAGGACAGTGTAAGCAGGCTCTGGGACGATGTCAAGAGTTCCAGCATCATAGAGGTACCAGAAGGAGGACAGAAAGAGCAAGAAACTGGAAATCTATTTAACAAAATAATGAAAGAAAACTTCCCTAATTTGGCGAAGGAAATAGACATGAAAGTCCAGGAAGCAGAGAGAGTCCCAAACAAGGTGGACACAGAGGCCCACTCTAAGGCACATCATTTAAAAAATGCCAAAGGTTAAAGATACAGAGAGAATCTTAAAAGCAGCAAGAGAAAAGCAGTTAGGTACCTACAAAGGAGTACCCATTAGACCATCAGCTGATTTCCCAAAAGAACTTTGCAGGCTAGAAGGGATTGGCAAGAAATATTCAAAGTCATGAAAAGCAGGGACCTTACAGTCAAGGTTGCTCTACTCAGCAAAGCTATCATTTAGAATGAACGACAGATAAAGAGCTTCC